TTGGTAGGATAGTCGTGTCTAAATACGAAATAGACGTTGAATTTTTGTTTTTCTGTTTTAAAATAAAGAAATCTTAAAGAGAGAATTGAATAAATTCTTTGGATATGGTAAAACGGTTACGCTAATTTGTCTATCTCAAATATAAAATATGATTGGATATATTGTCAACCCTGCTTCTCGAAGTTTGATTTTGGCAAAGTTTTCGAGCTTCTTTATCTTGTAAGAAAAAGAAAATGTGACATGAATTTTCCAAACTGTTAATCATCCATATACGTCCATGCAAATATGACATAGACAAAGGAAACTGACACGATTTCACATTCGACAAAAGAAAATTCTGATTATAGAATAAATTAATTAAAAATGAAAGAGTAAACTAATTTATAATTGATGCACAACACAAACAACAAATTATTTCTTTTTTGCCTTCTAGCTCCTTAGGTATATAATTTATAAACCATGTTCATAGTTTAGTAGAATATGAAATTAATTACCTGACATGAATGAACATTGGGTCAATATATATAGCTGTCCATGTGAACATTTTTACATCTCTACCTTCAATTATTATCTTTTTTTTTTTTTTTAATATTGCTCCGCATTTCCCTTTTGGCCTTTTCTTACTTGCTTTACAAAGTTTTCTTTGATGAAAAAATCCACGCCAATAGATTAAGAAGCAACAGTTTTTATTTTCGTGTTCTAAAAATCTCACGTCTCTACGATTAATTAGTCATAAGACGTCTATTGAAGTATCGATACACCTTTGCCATGATTTTGGCTAAAAAGAATACAGTAACCGATTAGCTAAGTATATAAACACTCATCAATTATTGCTTAGTGATAAAAAAAAAAGAAGTTAGTGATTATCGTCAAAAACTTGTTTGAGCCCTTTTTCAGTAAAAACAATCCATTATAACGAATTTTCTCGACCAAAGTAGTAGAACATGTTTGTAAGTTCCTCCCCATTAGACAAAGACTCTAACCCAAGAACCAAAAAACTCTTATTAGTAAGTCATAATACAATATATGCAAACCTACTAAAAGCTTTAAAGGTGAGATGATCAAATATCAACGACGACCGAATCATTTGAACAACCCACTGTACGACTATTATACTAAAGAATCCATCGTTTAACTTAGAGCCAACATTAAGTCGACATATCAAAGCGGGCCATGTCGAAAAAGCAATAGTCTACAAGTACATAATAGACCAGACGATATAGAATTGTCAAAACCCAAGACA